TAGATGAATGATACATTTTAATATTCAAACAAATCCTTCCAAAAGAAGACACATTTTGAAGTGTTTCATACTTGTAAAAAGTCATCATACATCCAGTGATTGTCATGTTCATCGGCACCTGRGCTGACATTCGACCAATCAAAAGCATCTTCTCTTTAGTGTCTGGATGAAAAGCAGATTCAAAGAGTTTCTTTGCTCGCCATATTTGCTCATCTGTAGTTCCGGCTGGTTCTTCTCCYCGTCTGCAACAAAAATGCTTGGCTCAACTTGCCCACTGGCAGATTCAGTTCATGGGTGCTACAGTAATGCAGTACCAATCGAAACCTATTTTTTTATTGCTGCTTAAGAACAGCGGCTCTATTGTTAGGTTAGGTTTTGTTTTATTGTTGGAAGACTTATCTATTTTTTGTCCAACCTATCATGGAGACCCGTTCCTGTGGGTGCTACCTGGCTCCTGTGCTATGGGTGCAGATAACCTTTCCTGATACCTTGTACCTTCTAATAACCCTCCCTGAAGAAAATCCTCGGCCTGCTGCTGCTAGTGCATCCCACAAAGACAAAGTGGCACATAAAATTTGTATTTTAAATATTCCCAGGATAATATAAAGGTTTGGATTGGATGGAAATAGAGAATTGGCTAATAATGATAACTGTATATCTAAACAAGCAAGTTCAAGGTCCATTACTTTACCTATATTTTATCAGTAATTGTTTCATGTCATCAAGTTCTTTCTCTGAGTGAAGAAGATTTCTTGGATCAGTCACAGTAAAGAAGTGTTTAGCTCTTCCCATGTAGGTGCTCTGATCATACCGGGGCTTTGACAAGTCTATACGGCCATCAGGAAGCCTTTCTGACTCCATAATTGATGACCTATTAAAGTAAATTGAGAATTTTACATTTCTATCTTGCTAGCTGGATAAACCAGGTTTATCATTGGGGACTTAACATCTCTCTTTAAAATGTCTGGCATATTGTATCCATATTGTACGGTCTTTTGCTGCCAAAAGGTATCAGATTCAGTATCTCTAGGGGTCAAAATAACATTTTATTGAGCTAGTTTCCTTTCTCATGAATGRGAAAGTAGAGCTTGCTTTTCCACATTTTCTAAGTAGCATTGATAAAAAAAGACAGAAAAAAATTATAATTATTCAATTAAGTCCCCCTGCCCCTTTTTCTACAGGTCCCTAGTTTCAAATAATTTGTAAACTAAACTTGACCAGTGTAAGTCGAGGAACTACATAGTGCTTGCTCTGAGCATTAACTGTTTACTTACCAGAACAATAAAATCAAAACTCTAATAACAATAACAATACATGCAGACAACTATGAAAATATAACTTAATTGAATGCAGGTTAACGCTAAAAGTAATCCATTTGATCTGAAAATTTGATCCCAAGATCTGCATGTCAAAGTCAAACCACCAAACGATCAAAAAATAATAATATTCAAGTTATTGATACTTCTAGAAGTTATTTTACAGCAACTATTTAAAAACAGATCACACACAATTTTGAAAAAAATACATGTAAATTGATATATTGTCGTAATGTTCTACATCACGTTAAGGCAGCTCAAATCGTTGATTGTACCATCTCTCGTCATGAGACACGTATATACAAAATACATGTTCCAAAATAATTCTCAAATATCTAGCAAATACGCTCCACAACATATCTGTGAAATATGGCGACTGATGCAATCACAGCTTCGAAGTCATGTGTGTTGGCAATGAGTTCGACCCTTCGAAGTAATTCATACTAAAACAAGTTTTAATCAAACCATTACATACCTTATAGAATATATATACAAGAAGGAACAATAGTTATTTTAAAATCTTCTGATCGTTAAAGTCCAAGACGAATATTAACTGGGCATGCATTGATGTAATCTGAACCGGTATCATGCATAATTAATGAGTCACACCGAGAGCACTGTCACGTGACAATATACGCCACAAGAACGCCCCTATTATTCATGTTTATTGGCCAATCAGAAAAAAGGCATTTGATGACGCAATATTATRCAAAAGCAATGAAAAATGGAATAAAAAGATAACTAGACGCTCTCTATGAAGCGTGAAGTCGGACTAGCTATTTTTGAATGTACATTATGGCGTAGAATAATATATTTTTTACTTCTAATACATAGTGAAAGCAAGAATGCGTGACTGTTTATTCACACGATACGATATTCTTTTTGACTGCTCTCTGCAACGACTTCAAAACGATAGAAATCTAAATTTTGACCTAAAAGGTCATGTAATTAATACCTGGTAGACTAGATGTCGCTAAGTGATATCATATCTAATACGTTTTTAATTCAAATTGTTGACCTCTCAGGCCAAGAAAATAAATACTTTAAAAAAGATGCCTATAAAATAATCAAAGTCGCCTTTTTGTTATTGAGAAACAAAGTTTCTTCTTGTTCTAATTTGAAATCTTTGCCCAAACGTAACAAGACTGTCTAACGCTAGAATTCAGTTTCGTAAGCATACTACTCGAAGCTCCATGCGATCCTCACATGCGTGTACTTCTGATGCCTAGACTGATGCATGCCGATGAGATCACAGATACCACATTTGTAAACGAATAGTTTTTTTATCAGATAAAAACGCAAGTAGCATCTAACAATTACTAGCGATGTTCGTACATCTATACGATTGAGCTTCCGGTATAGTTAATTATTTTATTTTAGAATTTAAAAATTCTTAACTTCCGGTGTTCCAAACGCGACAAAAWACATAGATAGATTGGCTAAAAGGTAAAACTCAAGTCGACCTAGCCTTCGGATAGTCCGACTAAAAAACGCTTTAAAACGGGCTATTCTTATTACAATGGTGGGAACTAGCGGTAAACTAGCTAGTGTGAGCTGCGTCGGTGTTCTAAAGAAACAGTTGTGTAAAAAGATAAATTTAACACCGTAACTGAAAGTATGTGAAATAACTTACTGACGTTTCGGACGTTTCCTTCTTATTACAGTACCGGCTGGAATCGAGCCTCGTTCTAGGAGAGATAAAAATACTAACGTGATATGGAAATGGAACGAGAAAACGAAATAAAGACTCCCCCCCCCTTGTCACATTAATGACAGGAAACATGGGAAAACGGTCAGTGACGGTTGTTTAAATAGGGTCAACCGAAAACGCTCAATAAAAGTGATTACACATTGAAACATTGAAACAATGCAAAAGTAAGTTGTTTTTATTTTTTTCAAAGAGCAAAAATTCAATTCAGAACACTGACTCTTAGTTTTTCAGAATTAAAAAAAWWAYACTGATTATTACTTTTAATGGAAACATTGGGCCATAAGGATACAGTCCGTTTTTGATCTTTTCAAATAGTAAAGCTGGCCATTAACGGTACAAACTGCCGGAAGCAATGACGTCGTCACAAGGACTTTCATACTGTTATCAGGGCATTTGTCATACAGTCAGTGTTCAGTTTTTAGATTGAGAAAAATAAAACCTGAAAACAGTCGAGGAATGAATAGAAATTCACTGATCACTCAGTCAACATTTAGTTTTTGATACTTGAGAGAGATCAAGAAAAGCAAGTTTGCTTAATATAAAACGTTTAGTTGCGTGTAGCTAATGGATTAGACATTGTTTGAAAAACCAAACTAAGGGAAGCTTGTATGGGTGGATTGATTTGAAGTGACCATTAAACTGAGCTGAAACAATAGCAGGAAAAATAGATTTTACTATTAAAGAAATACTTCAACATCAACATATATTTTTGAACAGTTGTGTACATGAAATAATAGAAATTTAATCGTTAAAAGCAAGAACATAACATTAAGAATATGAAATAAAAAAGTAATTGTCCGAGTTTGTAATCATTAGTCAGCTGTTACAAGAGCTGCACTGTGAATCCAATCATCAAAATAAGTCAAATAAATCTAGAAAAACTTGTTTCCAAACAATTAACGAACTAAAACTAAGAGCTATCGATGAGTATACATGCCCGGCGATGACTGATAAATATTTAAAGTTAATGAAATAGGGTAATTATAAGTTAATGTTAAGATGACGCCATTAAGCCAGTTTAAGATATGGTCTTTTCTACTTTTATAATAGAAGTGACACTGGTGGAAAACGCACTGCGCATATCCACTGTTCCCGCTGAAATCTGCCTAATTTCCTTAAAAGTTTTTTAAAATTTATAAGCTCGTTCACTGATATATAAGATTCATATTTCCATCACTCATTGTTCATGATAGGTCCTTTTAGTATGGACAGTATACCCTCAACGTCGTAAAAATCACTTATTGTGTTTATCGTTTATTTTACTATTAGTTTCTATTTTTATCGTGTTGTTTCTATTTTGAGAAAATGAGGTTTTTCGTAGTGTTTTCTGTGTTGTCGCTCTAAATCGTCAGGCGCTCTGTTTACAGATTTCAAGACGCTAACGCCCATTGGCGAAAAAGCCCTGGGCGCATGCGTAGTGCGTTTTCAACAGTATCAATAGAAGGTCATTAACGGTACAGATGGCGGAAGCAGGCACTATTATACTGCGTCTGGTAATTACTTATTCACTGGTCACTCAATCTATATTTTAGTTTTTGGATACTTGAGGGGGAATCAAACTGTGAAAACAGTCGAGGGATGAATTCTTCTGTGAATCTTTCCAGCCCTAACCGGACAGTACCATTGTCACCAAAGTGTCCAGGAATAGTCACCACAACCATTTTAACCGTTTTGATTGCTGTTGTTGGTATCGTTGCTAACGGGTTGGTCATTCGTTTCGTTCGTTCAGATCTAAGACAGCGGAAAACTCCRGACAGACTTCTTTTACTACACATATCGATTGTC